GATGCTCCCCCGGCAGCCCCCGGCCGGCTGCCGAGCTGCCCCGTTTTCTCCAGGATCTGCCCGGTGACCGGCGAAGCCAGCGCATCTCGCCAGGTAAGCGGGAGCTGCCCGCTCCGCCGCCGGGAGCCGGGCGGGGTGGGAGAGCACCGGTGACCTTGCAGTCCCCTGAGTGCCCAGCGCTTCGTTTCGTGACCAGCTGTTGTATTTAGCATGCCCTGTCAGAAAAGAGCTGGGCAGAAAGCCGGGTCCCCAAACTTTAGCTGAGCACAGAACCTGAAACTAGGTCTAAATTTCATGAGCAGCCCCTGCCCTTGCCGTGAACTAAGCCGTGCGATCCCCTTACCTCCCTGCCCCACCATCTAAGCACCTTCAAAATGTGGAATATTCAACATCCAGACTGGAATTTTCCAGCTTTAGGGTGATATCGCCTCTCGTGATTTCTGTCCACCCATCGCTATATTATCCAAAAAAAAGCATAGCATCTCTAACCAGGTTACCCAAATGCGGTGTCCCAGGCACATCACTGTCCAGTGAAAGGTTTTATCATGCCTCTTTGTGGTAGATATAGGGGAAAAAAGTACAAAGAGGCAAGAGGACTTGTGCACGGGCACGTGCAGCCACGAAGGACACATACCCTGAGCATATAGCTCCCTGTCTCCCTCAGCTAGGCAGCCCTCCTCCTCTTCAGCGAGAGCAGAAGGTGTTTGACCCCTCAGAGAAGAGGGTCTAAGCACAGGGAAGGGAGACACAATTTCCCTGTGTTGGCTGATGGCAACAGCTGGAAAAGGCCAGCATCACCATGAGGAGGCAAGAAGGCTCTGGAGAGAGGGAAGGGTGAGCAGAGTGGCATTAAGCAAACTAGGAGGGGGCAGGAGCAGGAGGAGGTGGAGGGCTGGGGAAGGACTCGGCTCCTCTTCACCCCTGCCTGGCACAAACGTGTCTGCTGGGGATGTACTTGCTGGTTCTCTAGAGTGACAGAGTTTGCGATGGATGTCCTTAGGTGGGTTGGAAAATACTTGTTTTGCCCTCCTGTCACTCACTCCATCCAGGCTGGGGCCAGGGGAGGGGAGAAGCACGTTTAGCAGCTAGCCTATAAGAGAGGGAGAGAGAAGAATCCCAGAGGTGCTGCAAGTCTGGCAAGAAGCAGCCGATCCCTCAGCTCTCCAGGAAAACCTGCTAAGGGGCTAATTTCTGTGAGCACTTGGGAGAAGAACTGTTCAGATCTTCTGGGGAGCAAGGCCAGCACCAAGCATCTCAGTAGCACAGCAACAAAGACTGGCAATAAATATCCTTCCAGCAACTTGAAGCTTGCACAGCAAATGAGTGGGGGAGCATGAACGATGCAGTATCTGCAGGTACTTTCAGCTCCTTTTACAGGGCATGGGGGGGGGGGGCACTGGCAGAGCTGGGGATGACAGAGTGTGTCACATCTGTTTGTAGCCGTGCATGCCTCCAATCCCCTTCTCTCTGTGCCTTAAAGCAAGATCTAGGGGCCAGGGTAGTTTATAGTTGGTGTCTGCTCCATGATTTCCTGGAAGCTGTTAAGGGCATGTATGGGACATGCTCTATAGGTAAGTGCTAGTTGCCAAGCATACACTGTGTCTTGGCACAAGGCCAGGAACACCACGGTAGCTGTGATTCCTTCCCTCCCTCCTGGGAACTACTTCAGCATCGCTTTCAGGGCACTTCCGTCAGCACTGAATTAAGGCTTCGCAGGACAGTTAGTGTCAGAGGTAGATGCACTGAGCAGCTAACACAGTGTCAGCTATTTCAGAAAATGAATGATATCAAATTAAAGCTCTTGGCTTCTTTGACATTTTCAGTGTAGTAATAATAATTACAATAATTGATAAGCCATTTAGTCAACCTTTCAATTCCAAAGCAATTCAACCAGCTGACACGGCACAGTTGAGATGCAGCCACCTTTACGGTGAAGGATCTCAGCCTGACTTGCAAGACACTTGGCAGTTGCGGGATAGAAAGTAAAGCAGTTGGGCTGAGGACGCTTGCTCTAATGGAAAGGTTTTTTAATGAACAAGGCTCCCGCACCTATGGGTTTTGTTACAGTGTCATTTAGGAAGACTGTTGCCTAGTGAGCTGTACAAAGCTCGCAGAAAAAGCTGTACAAAACAGCTAAATGTATGTAAAAGAATATTCTTGCACAACATATAGCCCTATTGCCTTTAAATTCACACCCTTTCTGTGGGCTGGGCATGTCTTTGTGGCAAGCACTTCAGTGCTGTTTAACGGTATCTTCCTGCAAAGTGTCCAGGTTGGTACTGGACAGCTCAAGGCTATGTCTCCTGGGTACGCAGCATCCTTTCTTCTTGCCTGTGACACCCTCTCCATTGGCAGAGGAGGGAATTTCTTGAAGGGAATTTCCCTCTGCTTCAGTGGCAGGCCAGGATACGTCCTTAGGGTCTGAGAGCCAAGATATACCTAGGACGCAGCTTGCCAGTGAGGGCTTGGAGCAGGTTCCCTGCAGCGATACCCCACATTGTTTTCCTTCCCTCTTCACCGCGGTAATCACCCTGCACGTGCCTTTGTTTCTCCATGCCTGCTCTGCCTCCACTTTATAGCCCCCTACCCCTGCTGCCCCTCTCCCTCAGGGTGCCAATGCTGCAGGCACTATCACACCATTCGCACCAATGTGTAGGGAGGCAACGCTGCTGTCCCAGGTGTGAGGAGCCACACCACGAGCCCATCTACTTCCTAGAGCTTCTTCCAAGGCTGCTTCTTCCTCCTCTTTAGCATCCTCAGTTGTCTTTCCTATTCCAGCAAGGCAATGTTTGGCAGGAATAAAGAGAGTGCCTGACATACTCTGCAAGACTATGTATGCCTGTGAGGGATGAGATATTTGATTGGCTCCAAATATGCCCTTTACTGAGCATGCAAAATTGCTCTGGGAAAGCTTTGCAATTATTCTGCAGGATGTACACAGGGAAGATGATATCTGTCCTCTTCCTCCTTGTATTTAATTATTCCTAATAAAAGAAAAAATCTACAAAGGTGGTAATAAGCCAGACTGGAAGTCGGGGTCCAACACATCTACAGGGTCCTGAAGAAGTCCAAAATCACTCTGCTCTTTTTGCTCCTGGCCTTTCTGTCTAGTAATAAGTATTATGCTCATCTGTACAGCTTCCCATCCAAAGACCTCAAAGTACCATACGTACGTGATGAAGAGCACTCTCTGCCCACGTACAGAGCTGTTTTTCAGTATGACTACCCCTACTTTACACAGGGAGACACTGCAGCTGATAGCGTCAGAGCTGAGATGGCCCCAGATCATCTGTCTCCCAGATCATCTCCCAGATGAGGCCTGCATCTCTGAGAAGCGTTTGCAAAGCTGGGAAGTAGCTCAGCCTAAGAGGACTGCAATTAAAACCTACTGGTACCATAATAAATACAGGGTACAGATGAGGCCTAGAGCTAACGTCACCCTCCTCTCAGCAACAGGCATGACTGCATAAACCCTACTCTTTGAGAGGGAAACTGGTCAGACCCCACTGATTCCTCTGAGCTGGAACCTTGTTCCAAATTGCACCCCAACTTGTGGCCAACATGTGTATCAAGAACTTGATCCTTTATCCTGTCGTGTTGTTCAAGCTGTGCCGGCTCGTAATTCAGACCTTGGTTGAGACGTCTTACCTAGTTCACTCTCAAGTGACATTAATGTTCCCGTAGGTCTTTCCTTAAGAGCTAGAATGCATCTACTTTGCCAATATTAACAAGTGTTCAGTCACCTGCGTGGTTGGCTTCCACCACTGCACAGTGCAGGGGAGCTGTCTAAGATCCTTCTCCCTGAAATAAAAAAAATTGCTCACATTTCATTAATTTGAAGAATTTGCAGAGTGCAAAGTTTCCTCAGGAGACACAGTTTCCTGGGGCTGAGACACAGAGTTGGGATCCACAGCTTCAGCAAAGAGTACTTTATATTTTGCTTGCTGTTTGTCCCTTCCCTCAGCAGGTAATCCCACAAATGCCTTATGCACAGCAAGATTTGTTAAGATGGGGCTGTTTAGTTCAGGGAGATAAATGAGGAGTGACACCAGGGTGAAAAAAACAAAGCAATGAACATTGTAGAACAGGGAATTAATGCTTTTCTACATCTCTTTTCTTAGTAGATGAACTGGGTTGCAGTCAGGAAAAATGCAAAAGGTAGCAATTTGATGATTAAAAAAATACTTTCCTTTGCAATGCATAGTGACATACGGAACTTGCTGGTACAAGATGCTGCCGAGGCTGAGTGTAGGATTCAAGAAAGGAGGAGACATTTTGATGGATCATAGATCATTCATCATTGAATAGGATAACCAATTTGAAATAGATCTAAATCTTCAGGCTTCAACCCTTCACAATTGCCTAGTGTAGGATTTCTTGTACCTTCTAAAACACACAACATTGATCAGTGTAAGAGGCAGAGGACAAAAGGAGACAGACATACTCGAGTGAAAAATCAGCGGGGCAACTCCTATATTCATTTATATGCAGAGGAGAAGAATTTATGTTTTCCAGCCTTTGTGATGACACTTAGCTCACATAGGTTTGTTTTTTGTCAGGTGAAGAAGGCTCAGGGTAAGTTCTGATGAGATTTGAGCTGGTCCAGTAGTGCTTACACTAGTGCTTTCCCTGCCTGTGCTGTTGATTTTAATAGACTGCCAGCAGCCTGGCAACTTTGTGTAGTGCTGGTTGATGAATAAGGCTGCATTACAAAAGAAAACTGTGTTGTCCCATTCTTTGGATGTTACCCCTTGGCACTGAGAGCAAGGGCATTTATTCCCGGTACAGCCTGCTGCTAGCCAAGTGAAGCACTGGTATTACTTGGAGCTGAACAGGGTTAGCAGTCAAACATACTCAGCTCTAGTTAAAAGATTTTTAGAGCAGCAATGCTGTCTCATTCTGTAAGTTCACGGTGGGTTTGTGTGTGGGAGTGCAGGGCACACGGGAACCTTGTTTTGCTAGCAAAGCAGGATTGCTCCTAGGCAGTCCTTGTGTGGGAGAACGTGAAGGAAAAGCCAAGGGCCAGGCAGGCAGCAGCAGCTTGGCAGGCCCTGCTCCCTCTGCCGTGATGCTCCTAGGGCAGTGTTGCAGGGCAGCCTGGCTCCTGAAGACACTGCCTCTAAAGTTAGAGGTAGAGATATGGTCTTAGCAAGGTCCCCTGTGTCTGGTAGAAATCTCCTGGTACCTATTTCTACAACAGCACAGTTGGATCCTTGCCTGGTGCGGAGTAGAGGTTGCCTGCTTTCCTCTACCAGTTAGCCTCCCCCTTGATGCACCAGTCTGTAAAGGAGGATAGATGATATTCACCTCACTCCGAGTCCTCTTCATGTTCTGAAAGCATGTTAAAAAAGAGTTTGAAAAGGATATTTCTCCTGTGGCTGGCAGATTTAATAAACTGTTACCTGGTTATGTCCATAGCTATGGGTTAGGCAGCAGTGCTGGCCTTCCTGGAAGAGGGACTTCATGGCTCCCTGAATACCCTGGCTGTGACCATAGTAATAGAAGTGCTGTTCATCAAGGCAAACTTATGCAAAGTATCACCTTCTAATGACTGTGCTGGGCCAATTCGAGAGGAAGCAAAGGATCCAGCCATCACATCCACTCTGCAGCGCTGGGATGGCTTCCTTGCGGGATGCGGCCGAGCCTAATGCATTTATTGGGTCCCTCCTTCCCTCCTCTTTCTCCCACTGAGCAGCCCAAACTGACTGCCACAGTGATCTTAGCTTTTTCCCTCCAGATACATCATGCCCTGGATTGCTGCCTTCCACCTCTGTGGATCCCTCCCTCCCACAGCCCTTCCCCCACCCCAGATCCACACAAAGGTGAAAAGGAAGGAGGCGCCAATTGCTTTCCTGTATCTGCCAGCTTCCCTCTCCACCTCTGACGTGAATGAGGCCCTTCATGTGCTCCTCTTGAGCAAACACAGATGCTTTTGTTTTATGGGCTGGTGGGACGGGATGGAATTAATAAATCAGAGTGCTGATGCTGTGTTGCCACATTCCTGCAATTTTAAGGAAAGATCACAAAAAAAAAAAAAAGGCCGAAGCAAAATAGACAAGCTCTTCAGAGAGAGCTCAGATGCTCCCTGCTCTGACTATACCTCTTGCTTGCTATCCCACTTGGTCCCCTGCTCCGTCTCCCCTGTTCATTCGTCCTCCGCTTTTCTCCCACTCTGTCATCCCTGTTAACCTCATCTTTTCTCCTGTTCCTTCTGCTTTTCTCAGCAACAGCTTCCAGTTATACCTTAATATCTCACCTACCCATTTTAATTCTCTCACCTTCTTTTCACCTGTGCTTCCCTTGCTCCCACCCTGCACTAAGGTCTGCCCAAGGCTTGTGCATTCAAGAGGCGTTC